AACGGCGTGTGGTACCGGCTGGCAGAGGAGGAGTCGGGCATGGTCGCTGTTCACGTGCAGGACGCAGGTGAGGAGAGGTGACGACTGCCTTGGGGTGTGTCATGGCCCTGCCGTCCCCTGCGTCTTCGGTTCAGCCAAGAGAAAAAGGCCAAGGAGTGAGTGGGACCTGGGTCTCACCTGCACCAGGGCAGGTCTGTGGTGCCAGTGCTTTTCCGAATCAGCTCGATGGCTCATTGCCCAGCTCTTGCTTTGGCTGGAGTACCCACACTGCACTGAGCTCTGTGCTGGGGCTGCCCAGCCCACAGCACTTACCACCTGGTGTGTCTCACTCAGTAGGGGCAAACTTTGTCCCCCATTGAGGTTTAACCCTTCCCTTTGGGAAACACCCTGAAAGTTGGATTAGCTCTGCACAGGGGTGCAGGCTGTGGCACAAGAGTCTTGGGTGGTGTAGAGGCCCCAGAGATAATTGAGGTCATGAGGGTTTTGTCGACCCTTAAGGGAGATACGCTGGGGTCCTGCTGCTTTTGTGTAGCACCACTGAGGAAATCAAGGCTTTGCAAGGCTCCCCGCTTTATAAGATATTATAAAATCTCCACCAGGGACGACTGTATCACTCATTAAACTCTTGGGGGTAAAGCTGAAACATGCCCTGTGTTAACCTTCTTCTGTTGCTCTGTTTTCTAACATGGCTATTTTTCTCAGAGCCCCACCTCCTGCATTGACATAGATTAATGAGCTTCTGATTTTTAATGTCTCTGAAGAAGTTTGTGTGCCCTGCATTACAAACAAACCGTGAAATGTGACCGTCCTGTGTCTCTTTCCAGGCTCCACCCTGCAGTCAGTCATCTGCTCCAACGATGCCCTCTTCTACTTCGTGTTCTTCTACCCCTTCCCCATCTTCGGCATCTTGATCATCACCATCCTCCTGGTGCGATTCAAGAGCCGAAACTCCAGCAAGAACTCAGAGGGCAAGAACGGGGTCCCCTTGCTGTGGATCAAAGAGCCCCACCTCAACTACTCTCCCACTTGCCTGGAGCCACCAGTGCTCAGCATCCACCCGGGAACCATGGACTAGAGAGGCAGAGGCACCTGGGGGGACGCACAGAGGGGAAAGAAGCAGAGGCACGCTGGGAACCCCAAGGAACAGAGTGGGTTTTGTTGTTCTTGTTTCATTTGTTTCCCTGTCTGTGCTCTGATGCAGAGGCTGAGCTGTGTGGGGTGCCCAGCCAGCAGGAGCGGGAAGGTCCAAGACTTCTTCCAGCACCCAGGAAACACACCCCCTCATCCTGATGAACGGAGGCACTTGCTGTACATAGCGGATGTTCCTCTCGGACTCATTTTACTCCCATCAGTTGCTGTCTTTTGGGCTGTTACTTTTTTATCGTTTCTTTTTCAGTCACTCAGAGAACTGTAGGCTTCCCCTGCTCTCCACACAGTGTGGAGTTCACAGGGGTCGTTTGGTCCTCGGACAATCTCTTTGGAAGTAAATGTATATGTTTTCCAAAAAAGACTGTTTTTCCTTCTCAGACTCAGTGCCATGATGAAGAAGGTCTTTTCTCAAGGTGTGCTCTTTCAAAACAGACAAAGCCAGGTCTATCCCCAGAGGGGTTAACTGGGATGTCTTCTGGGAGGTCCGTTGCAAAGACTGGCTGTAGCCTCAGCCTCTTCTTGCCTCCACCTTACTGTTCTCTCAGGAGGGAGCAATTCACCTTTTGGGAGCGTTCCCAGGTCTTGGAGAGACTGAACATTCAGCGTGCTTGTGATCAGGACAAAAGCAGTTTAGTTTGTCTCAAAGAACTGAAGGGGGGAAAGGAAGGAGGACACCTGAAAGCCCTGACTTGGTTGGTAGCAAAGAGGGTCCTCATATGGTCCAGCTTACCAGAGTCATGTTCCTCCCTGGTGTCCATGCTGCCACCTCAGACGAGGCGGATCCCCTCTGTGCCCCAGTCGTTTGGGGATGGGAGGCTTGATCCAGTCTCTGAAGGCTTCAATATGACCAAAGTAATGACTCTAGGAAGGAGGAAAGGGGAAGCTCCACGGGTTGTGTTCGCAGTCCCCGGATGGTTCAGCCAAGGAGCCCAGTAGCAAACATGCCATGCAGCGGGGACATGCAGTTCACCACCATGGGTCACGAGTTTTCCTGTGGCTTGCACTACTTCCCGGTGCAAGCCTGGACAAGGCAAGGAGCCTGCAGCACATCAGCACCCTGGGGGCTTCCCTGCCCTTTGAGCAAGAGAAATCTTCCCCTGTGTGTGTGTGCATCTGCTGATTTTCGTTTCTGGGACTTCAGGAGGAAAAACCGTTTCTCCGTAAGCTCCCCCTCCTGGCAAAGTCACCTGCTCTTGTAAGAGCCACTGTGGCAGGAAATGCTGTTCTTTCTGTGAAAGATATGGCTCTCATGAACCAAACCAGGGCTCTCGCCATGTGGGGCACCTGAACTCCTGTACCCCTGATGCCAAGAACCCCTGCCCTGTCCTGTGGAGGAAACCGCCTCCTCCCCACTACGGCCTAAGCATTACGTCTGGCGGAAGGAAATGTTTGCCAAAAATGGCCTTTTGTTGTCTTCCTCGATGTCTTCCTGGCAAATCCGGCCATTTATATTTTTGCAGCATGGCTGAAGCCGACCAGGTGTGGACGGGCACAACCACAAGACCCCCCCTGCCTCACGTGTGAGAGGTGCCATACCCACAGCCGTTGTCCTCTCTGGGAGGGTCGGACTGCTCTTTGTGAACAGAGGGGACCTCAGCAGATGCTCTGTAGCACTAGTCAGACCCTGATGCCTTGGTGTTTCAGAGGTGGTGAAGCTTCAGGTTGGAGATCTGCACCACGCAGCCTCTCTCCTGTCTGGGAGAGGACCCACGCGGCTGCAGATCAACCCGTGCTAAGGCATTTGAAGTTGGCCACCTCTGCACCTCTACCAGAACAGCATTGGTTTCTTCTTCTGCTGGGAAGCCCAAATTTCACTCGTCCCTCTGTGAAGTCTGCCTCCTCGAGACGTAACTGCTTGCTGGCCCCAGCATATGCATAAAGTCACACTCCTATATATGTATGTATGTATCGCACACCCGCACACTTGTCTTCCCTTTCTGGCTGAGGTGTCTGCAAAGAGAGGAGTGGGGTGAGAAGTGAATGGAAAGGAAGAACCGAGGTGCAAACAGCAGCAGCTGCAGCCAGTGGGTATTGTTTCATATGTACTATCTCCTGTACATAACTGCTCCCGGGCAGGGACTGCGACTCATTCCAGCTCCAAGGAAGAAGAGAAAATGAAGTCAGCAGGAGCTGTTCTTCCCTGGGAGAGCCCTGCTCTGCGTCTGAGCCACGCTCCTCCTCGCCAGCCTGTCTGCCCCGCAGCAGGGCTCTCCTGGAGGGCTGTCCCATGGCCCCGTCCCCCTGGATGGAACGGGTCCCTTCCCAGCCTGGCGGTTCCTGCACAGAGCCCAGGCTGTCCTGGGAAGCAGCTCCCACGCTGGTCCCTGAATGTACCTTGCCAGTGACATTTCTTCATTGCTCTGGCAGTGTGTTGCCCAGTCTCAAACTTCTCTCTGTTTTTATAAGGCAGACTCTCTTCCTGTAACGAGTTTTAACGCGGAGCTTTTCAAACCACTCTCTCTGCTGTAACTTTCTGTAATGAACCCGAGAAGAAAGAGAGATACCCTATCCATGCATGATGTGGAAAAATGTTTGGGATTTTTTTTTTTTAAAGGAAACAACAAAAACTTTGTACTATGTTGCACTAAAACATGTTTTATACAACACACCCGAGAGCTGTAGTAAACTGTGTTGAAATTGTGAATCCTATTGCTGCTGCTTTTTGTCAGATTTGGGCTTTTGTTATGCCTTTATGTGCACTCCCTGCATAAAGGTGTGGAGGCCCCCTCTTGGGCAGCCTCTCCCTCTTCCACTGCCACCATTCCTTGATGCATTAACTCCCCTCCCACCCTGGTAGAGCTTCTCCTCTCTTGCAGGTTGGAGCTTGCAGACACCGTGCACCCTCTGGCTCTTCATACTTCTCCCTTCCATCTCCCTTAATTCATACCATAACAGAATATAACATTTAAAAGAGGCCTGTCAGGTCTTTTTATTGAATAGGATACACTGTTTTTTAATTGCTCTGAAAACAGTAAGTACTTTGCTGCGTCATAGCCTGGATTTGAAGAAAACCCTTTTTTTATATAGAGTTATGCACAGCAAATGTGAAGCAAATAATCTTTAGTAACATTGATGAAAGCAGAAGAATATAGTTCACTACAGAAGTTGATGCAAAATGCAACCTGTTCATTCTCATTACCCACTTTTACTGTGAGTAAGGATTTGATCAGGAGTCTTGAATTCCCACACTGACTGAAATGGGGAAGTAGCATGATGCATCCCTACCTGCAGTGCAGAAGTGCTGTGGAATTGTGCAAACGCACTGCTCACACAGGTTGGGTTTGGGGTTTTTTCCACATTCATTTAAAACAAAAAAATACTCTCTGCTAAAATAATTGTATGACAAAACTCTTGTCATCCCCCCTTCTCCCCTCAGTAGGTTGCCTTGGGGTGCATCTGCTCTGGTCTCTGTGCTAAGCAGCAGAGGTTTTAGCTCCACAGGTGCCCAGTGCTGTGGCAGTGTGTCCCTGTATCAGGTGACAAGCTTGGGCCAGAGCTGTTGCAGCTTTGCCAGGAGGCATCTCTGCCAGCCCACTGTACGCTCCCTGGGGTCAGGTGTGCATCCCTGATCCCCTGGCACACTCCTATGGGCAGGTTTGGGGCAGCCTGAGTGAGTTTTGCTGCCCGTCCTGCTGCTGCAGCAGGACCAGCAGTGCTGCAGTGGGTGCTCCTGCTCCCCCTGAGGCCCAGACGATGCACAGCCGCCCTGGAGTGGAGGAGGGACGTCTCAGGGCTTGGCTGCTCAAGGGACTGCTGCGTGCTCCCATCAAACCACCTTGTGACTGTTTCCCCGCGCCCACCAGCCCCAACCGAGAGCCAGCGTGGCCTCCCCACTGAAGCCAACACGCATGCAGAGAGAAAAGGCTCACAAGCTTTAATCCAGCGGGTCTGCAGAGCGAGCGAGGAGGGGCAGGGGGTAAGCGCGCCCGTGCCGCCCCCGCCTAGACGAGATCGTACAAGCCCCTGGCTACCTTCTCCAGGCGGTCCTTGTACTCCAGGTGGGCGTAGAGGGACATGGGAACCCCCTTGAAGCCGTGTATGACCCCCCACCAGCAGGCCGCGATGGCGGCAGTGGAGTCGCTGTCGCCCCCGTGGAAGAAGGCGCGGAGAGCCAGCTCATTCCAGGAGTCGCCCGCGCCCAGCAGCGCGTCGTAGGCAATCATGGGGGCGTCGTGCCCGCTGCTGCCCGCCCAGCCGTTGTAGCTCAGCGACGTGTAGAAGGTCTCCCTCTCTTCCACGCCGTACTTGGCAGGGAAGGTGGGCAACGAGACCCCGTCTGATATGCCCCTCTCCACCAGGTATCTTTTCCACGAATCTTCAAAGTAGTACCTGTAGAACAGGAGATGGGATGGAGCGGCTGTAAGAGCTGTCCCAGGGCAGGAGCACATACCTGAGCTCTGCGCAGGCGCCATGCCAAGAGCTCGGAGCGATGGCTCGGCAAAATGGTAGGTGTCCCCCCTTGGTCAGACTAGGAACATGATTTACAGTAAGAGGCACAAGGACATGTTTCGGTGAGTTAGATTTCCCCTCCCTCCAGCCACATGGGAGAAGGCAGCCCAGCACCTGCTGCTGTCGTGCTGCACAGGATTCAAAGGCTCAGAGTGAGAGGTGAGTCATCCTCCCAAATTCAGAGTAACTCTACCTCTGTGCCCCTGCACACAGAGCCGCAGTGGATCTGCAGCCACATTTGATTATAACTTTCAAACTGAGCTCAGCCCTAAGCCTACTGTTCCCCAGCCCTGCTTCACCTCTTTCATCAGATCACGGTTGCTTGAGATGACAAGTCTACCTACCTCATACCGGATCCAAAAAGAGTCACGACTACGTGACTCAAACACAACCTGCCTTTTTCTTTTTTTCCCCCCAAATTAGAGGTATTCTGAACTGATCTGATCCCACAGCAGGCATGTGCTGCTCTGGAGTTTACCATAACAGAATTACTGACACTTCAGGGTAAGCAGAGCTTGCCCTGTCGTAGGAAAGCGGGGTGCTGGGAGCGCGGCTCACCAGTGCTCCATGTTCTCCTTCACGTAGAAGCCGCTGTTCTGCACGTAAGTTTTCGCCAGCGGCAGCATGTCCATCAGCCCCTTGCCCCAGGCCTTGGGGGGCACGCCGTTCACCGCGTAGGCCGTGAAGAGGGCTGAGGCCAGGGCCCCCAGGTAGCCCGTGGGGTGGTGGTGGGTCATGCGGCCGCTCTCGATGCTGACTCTCAGCAGGGTGTGCCGCTCCTCGCGGTGGCAGAAGCGCAGCCCGATGCACATGGCGCGCATGGCACCCCCGCAGCCTCCCGCCCGCGGGCTGAACGGGATCCTCCAGCCGTTCGGCTGGTCCGGCTGCAGCTTCATTGTGCCTTCCATAGACGTGGTACCTGGACAGGAGCGGCAGAGCCCGGGAAAAACGAAAGGAAATGCGCATCAGTAGGACATAGGGTCGCATAGCTTGGGAACTAGGGGAAGACAAGCAAGGTGGTAGGGAAGGAAGCATTACTCTGCGTAAGGGATTTGAGATTCCTTTTAAAAACACCAGTTGTCTGCACACCTAGATATCCTGCCTTAAACTGCTGGAGCATCCTGTATCCTCCCAAACAGACCTGATAATTACTGCTTGTGAAAATAATTTAAAAGTCTAGGAGGTAAGAAACACTCCACTGCTGATTTACTGGCATTGGTTATGTTTACGTTTCATGATATTTAATAACTTATCTATAAAACATATACACTAATAGATTAGATATATACACATCTCTTTTTTTCTCTTTCTCTCTCTCACCCGTCCCCCCACCAAAAGGGTTTGTAGGATCCCTAACACAAGGCAAGTCTAAGTAACTCTGCTTTTTCAGTTGTTTAACCTCTTTACAGGATCTTTTAAAGGCAGAGACCCCACAAGCTCCTCAGGAATCTTTCCCATTTGCCTCACTGTTAGGAAATGTTTTCCAGCTCTCCCTTGCTGGAGTTTAGGTTTGTCTGAACATCCCATGGTAACCAGACCCACAGTTTTGTTATGGAAGGTGTTTCCTTTTGTTTTAAACCACCATTAGACAATTTCCTTAAAATCCCCTCTAGCCCTTACAAGAAGTATCGACTTTTCATGTTCTTGCTGGAACTTTGAGAAAAACGTTTCTTTAGGACATGTTTGGGCAGGTTGAGACCACACACCTTAGTCCTTGATAAAAAGTGAGATTGTTCTTGCATTAACTGTAGTTAAAATGAGGAAGATGACAAGGCTTTAAGACTAAAGAAAGACTGGTTATTTTGCATTACAATTTCCTTGCAGCTTTAAGCCTCTGCATATCGTTTTAGGAGATGACTGCTGATAACTTGCAAGTGGAAAAATTGTGTAAAACAAACCAGCATATGACAGCTAAGAGTCTTGAGGATTTATGAAGTATTACAAGTATTATCCTCATGCTTTTAAACAGTTAAAATATTAAAACATTTGAAAGCCGATTTAGGAAGACTAAGCTGGAATCACGTCAGTTCTCTTTTTAAAAACAAGTTTTAAAAAAAATGCTGTAGGAGTTTTTGAATCAGGAAATTGTTTTGGAAATCTACCAAATCCTAGTTAGGAATGCTTTGTACTAACAATAGGAAACTGAAAGTAACCTAAGGGAGTTTCTGGTCTAAGGAAAGGAGAAATACAAGCAAAAAGCAGTGTGTGAAGAAAGGCAACCTGAAAAAGTTTCAAGAACAACTTGAAACACTCTATTTCTGGAATAGGCTTCCATTCCACTTATCTAGACTCTTCATGAGCACAGACAGTAATAGTTATTTGAGATTAATCAATACACTTAAAAAAGGTGAGTTAACCACATAGTGGTAAATAATTCCACAGGCAGAGGACTTGGACTGAAAGACAGAGTTTTGAAGCAGAAGGCTTCCTGGAGAGGCAGATGTAGTTTGAACCACGAAAAAAGAAGTACCTCCATGCTTGTGTTGCTTAATTCATTGGCTTTGTAATCTGCAAGGAACAATGAATTTGGGGCTGTGGTGCATCACGAATAGCAATAATGAGTTCACTCCTGGGGCTGCATCCCTGAGGGACTCTGCTGTGGCTGCCCGATGACTCATATCATTGTGGGAATCCCTTTGTTTCTGCAGGTTTTGGTTTTCAGGTCTGGGCTCCCTCGTGGGTGATCAGTGTGACTTTCCCCTACTGTTATAGGGAACTCTCTTCTCTGTTTGATGAAAGTTCCAGCAGCAACTTTCCATTCTCAGCCTTCAGGGCTGCAATTCCCCAGTGAGCACTTACTTAGGCCAGAACAGCACCACCATGGTTTATGTTCTCAGTTAAAATCCATTTATTCTGAGCTGCCAAAAGAAGTTATTGGCATGCAACCTCTATCATCAGGACCTATCAATATGGCATGGAGACTCCAGACTGCAGACAGCTTTTGAGGATATGGATTAGGTATTCCCTTTGATAGCATGTCAGTGGGCATTAAACTTCTAAGGGTCAGGATTTAAGCTCTCAGAACTGAGTGCCTTTCCTGTGGCTGCATCAGGAACAGTCCAGAAGGCTGCTGCAAAAACATTCCCAACAGACTTCCATTTTTTTCCACATCTCTTTCCCCACTTCCCCCAAACTTTTATGATGTTCAAGTGTCCTTGGACCCACTAAAGAATGTGCATTTCTTTCTTTAGCTAGATAACCTGACCTTTCCTTGTCACTCCACTTCATGTCCATAGCAAATTTGCTTTCAAATGGGAGCTGCTTTTGGGCATATTGCTGTTCAGTTACTCCCAGAAGGACTGCAGCAGGTATGCTATTATCCTTAGCTATTAATTACTAACATTTAAACTTTAGGTCCTTTTTAATTTCAGGGTTTAGTCACCAAGCTTAGATGGTGGAGGTGAAAATACCTTCCACGTGCTGTCTCACTCCCTGCTGTGGTTAGTCCACCTTGGCAGACCCCATCAGCTGGGGAAACTAAATGATGCTCCTTTGCTAAAGCAGCAGTGAATCTCTCGGAATTTTAACCTGCCAACTCCTGCTATGCTGACAAGCATCATTACTCCTTCCTAAATATTTTATTAATTAGGCCAACAACTGGAACTACCTGTGTTAAAGAAGACTGATAATTTAATTCTTTACCCAAGGGTAGGAGCTCACTGTGGAAAGGTAAGCAGAATAAATTCCTGCTCAAGTCTCCAACCTGGTTTATTTTGGAAATGCTCAGTGGCAATGCAGGATTTGGTCTTTCCCATGTTTAATGTCAAGCAAGAACATTCTTCACGTATTCTGGCCACTCCAAATAAGGTCCAGGTCCACGTATACATACAATTCCAACGTATAAACTTTGCCTAGGATTGCTGAATTTGAGTGTTTCCTGGATACTTCACGCTTCCTGCACTAGTCAAATTAGAGGTCCAGCCTCAGCAGCTCCAATTTAATTCAAGCATCCAGAACAGGCTGGGCCATGAGCACAGAGACAGACAGGATCCTCGGGGAAGAGCTGGGTCAGCAGGTCTGGCTGAACTAGGAACTACAGGGATATGTTGTACATGGCTTGGCTACTGCAGCCTGTGAAGGTGCCCTTCCTGAATACTGCCAGGCCCACTGCCTGTGACACAGACCCAGCACCACTGTGTTCATGCAGAAAAAAGAGAGATGATGGAAATAAAGGGTTCAGGGAAGAAGAGTGTGGCCTGACTGTCCTGTCGCAGAAAGTAGATGTGCCAAGCAAGCCACAAGCAGATTTTGGGTTTAATAAACATAATTACTCCAAGCAAAGATCTTTGTGACTTTAATTATATTTTGCATGTAATTTTTGCATTTTTTAGGAGGAGTTCTGTATTAATTCTCTGTTTAAATGTGTTGCATTAACACAGCATCTCAGGGTGTGCGTTACACATGGTTGGATTTGCATTTTTTATCCACTGAGTGTAGGCATCCCCAATGCAAAAGGCATCATCCTTCCCTTGCGTTCAAGGCTAGGCCTCAAACACACCTGTAAGAATGTTCTGTAAACGTGGGCAAAACAGTATCTTTTTCACCTACTTCAGGAGAAGCCCAAACCACTCCAGCTTGCCTTATTCTGTCCTCTTTAGCTCATCCTGAAACAGGTACTGAGCACGGAACACTTTTGCCTTTAGGTGAGATACAGTTAACGCTGTGAACAGCCAAAAGCAGAGCCAGGGCCAGCCTCAGCTCCAAGCTGCAGGAGAGGCACCAGCGACAGCACAGCCCTGCCCAGACAGTGTGATGGAGGGGTTACCTGGAGCTCTGCCCTCCATGTCATTCATGCACTCCTTGTAGTTCTTTGCAAGCAGAGAGTAGAGATCCTGTAACCTGGGGTTATCTCCGGCAGCTACGAGGGCTTCGGCCGTGGCCAAGTGCATCACTGTGTCATCGCTGACTCTCCATCCTTCGATGCTCAAGTTGCCGAGCCCCCCCAACTCTTCCAGCTCCCTGTGGATGGCTGGGCCATTCTGCTCGAACTCCCACTTCCCATTGTTATAGCCCAGCGTGTCAGCGATTGCGCTCAGCACCATTGCTGCCACGTAGTTTTCCAGCTTCTTATGACACATTTTTGGCCCCCGTACTTCAAAGTAGAAGACCCTATGGGAGGGGAAAAAAAAAAAAGAGAGAGGGACATTGAAAATAAAGTCTTTCCCAGTTCAGTACGGGCCTGTACTCCTAAGCTCCAGCAGGATGGATACCCTGCCTAGCACCTACGTCTCGCTCAGAGGATCTCTTTCTTCACAGCACATGCTTCCCTGTGCACCCACCGTCGGGTGGCAGCTCCCAGACAGCCCAGCCCTGGGCCACGGGCAGCCAGACATGTCCTGCTGGGACGGTGGCAGCAGCCCAAGACAACGCCACGTGTCGTACCTCGCTGAAAGGTTGAGACCCCAGGGCAGGACTGCAGGAGCGTGTGCAGCTTATGTGACCGCAACCATGTTCCCCACCTTTTTAAGGGCAGCCAGCTCAGAACTGCACCCAGCGACTTTTGTACTCTGGGGTAAGGCAAGGCTGACCCTCAGGACAAAAGTAAGGGGTGTGGGGCAAGTATGGATGTAAGGCAAGGCTGACCCTCAGGGCTACAAAAGCAAGGGTTTTATGGGGTAAATATGGAAGTAAGGCAAGGCTGACCCTCAGGGGTACAAATGCAAGGGACGTATGAGTAAGTATGGGTGAGACTGACCCTCGGGGGTATAAAAGCAAGGGGTATGGGGTAAGTATGGAAGTAAGGAGAGGCTGACCCTCAGGGGTACAAAAGCAGGGGATGTATGGGGTAAGTGTGGAAGTAATGAGAGGATGACTGTCGGGGGTACAAAACCAAGGGGTTTATGGGGTAAGTATGGAGTGAGACTGACCCTCGGGGGTACAAAAGCAAGGGGTATGGGGTAAGTATGGAAGTAAGGCAAGGCTGACCCTCGGGGGTACAAAAGCAAGGGAGGTATGGGGTAAGTATGGCAGTAAGGCAAGGCTGACCCCCGGGGTACAAAAGCAAGGGAGGTATGGGGTAAGCACGGCGTAAGGCGATGCTGAGCTCCTCGGCTTTGGCAGGCCCGGGCCAGGGCGGTAACGCCCAGCCCCGCTCCTCGGGCCTACAACAGCCGGGTTCTCGCACGGGCAGAGCTCCCACCCCCTCCCCAGCTCGGCGTTTGCTCCTCGCCTTCCCTCGGGACAAGCGCAGGCGGGGCAGGACGGCGGGGGCGGCCGAGCCGGGGACCCCCGGCCCTCGCCCGGCCCCGGCGGGTACTTACGCAACGAGCCCTGTGAGCGCCGCCAGGCCGGCGAGCGCCGCCAGCGCGGCCAGCAGGTACCGCCGGGAGCTCTGCCGGCTCGGCAGCCACTGCCGGCTCGGCAGCCACCGGCGGCCCGGCGACATGGGGCACGGCGCGGCCTCGGCAGCCCCGCGCGGCCCGGGACGCGTCCCCCGGCCCGCCCCGCCGGCGCCGGCCCTGACAACCCCCTCGCCTGCGGCCTGCCCGTCACGGCGCGGGCGGAGGGTCGGCCCGGCGCGGGTTGTGTCCGCTTTCATTTTCGGGAGCCGGGGCTCCCGGCACGTGGGAGATGAAGTCACCGCGCGGAAACGGGCTGTTTAATTAAAAAGAAAAAGTAAAATGAAGTAAAAATGAAAGGCGCTCTCAGCGTTTGCCCTTCTCGCGGGCTGCGTGAGCGGCTCCCTCCCTCCCTCCCTCCCTGCTGCTGGCTGAGCCCCTGCGGGGTGGTGGGAGCAGGGCCCGGCTCGGTGTCTGCGCTGGGGACAGACCTTTGCCCGGCCTTGGTTTGTGTTTCCCCTCCTTTCTGCAACCCGAGCGGAGCCTCCAGCCTTTACCTTTGCTCGTGTGCCTGCCCCCTCATAGGATCATCGAGGTTGGAAGAGACGCTCAAGATCACCCAGTCCAACCATCCACCCAGCATCACCACCCTAACCCATAAACCACGTCACCCAGTGCCAGATCTGGACATTTCTTGAACACCTCCAGCGATGGTGACTCCCACCACCTCCCTGGGCAACCTATTCCAACGCCTGACCACCCAAACAGTCAAAAATTTTTTTTCTAATATATAATCTGCATCTCCCCTGTCTCAGCTTAAGGCCGTTTCCTCTAGTCCTCTCACTGTAGGCATGGTAGAAGAGACCAGCCCCCACCTCACTACAGCCTCCTTTCAGATAGTTGTAGAGAGCCCTTCAGGTAGTTGTAGAGAGCGATGAGGTCTCTCTTAAACCTCGTCTTCTCGAGGCCATCTCCTTCAGTGAGACAACCTCCTTTGGTGTTTGGGGCCAGCACTCTCCCCACAGCCCCAGCGTGGCCCAGCTCAGCTCCCTGGTGACCCCAACCTCTCCCAAACCAGGTCTGGTCTTTGCTGTATTCCATGGTGCTGCTTTGTGTAGTGTCCTGAGGTGCCTGGTGCTCCCATTGCCTTGCTTTATCCTTTGTTTTTAATGATGGATGGTGGCTAGGTGGCTGAGGGAATCTAGTCAATGGATGAGGAAGAGACAGGAGCACAAATTAGGAGCAAGAAAGAGGACAGAGCACGGTTGGGCTTGCACTTTGTGGAGGACAAATTTTTTTACCAACCGGCAGTCACTGGACGTTCTGCGCGCCCGATCTCCAGAGCCCTGGTTCACCCCAGAAGGCAGCAGCACCTCTTACGTGAAGGGCAAAAAAAAATCCCCCCTGGATGCCTATGAGAGAAAGCCATGGTATTTTTTGAGCTGCAGCCCTGGGGGATTTCAGGGCAATCACAAATGTAGCGCTGGGTCAGAGCAGAGTCCCTGGGGAATTTGGGGGCAAGTGAGAGTGGAGGGCTGGAGTGGGGTCCTGGGGGAATTCAGGTAGCTGAGAGCACAGTGCTGTGCAGGAGCGGTTTGGTATGCCATACCCATTCATGTGGGCAACCTCTGCAGCCTGCTGCAAATGTGGAGTTTGAGAAGCATCTGGTAAAGAAAATAGTAACAGAAAAGGAAGTGGGAAAAGAAGCTGACAGTTGGCAACACTGCCAGCAGTGCCTGGTGACCTTTTCTGCTTCTCTGCTTCATTTTGTTTTCTCTAGAACAGCTCTGAATTTACTTAGGTTGGTGCAATGCTTAAAAGCAAAGTGGGTTTTTTCTCTCCTAAGGTTTGGGCCTGTGACAGGGAAAAAACCCTTCCCATTTTTGACTTGCAGTCTGTGAGGAATGGCTTCTACTCCAGCCTGAAGGGCAGAGGAGCAGAGAGGAAAGTCGCAGGGTTCCTCGAAAGGACAGGAAGATGGGAGAACACCTCTATGTCAGCAAAAAATGCCTGTGGCACTGGGATGTTTGGATCTCATCATTGCTTCCTGTTTCCTCAACTCTTTCAGCTTCCTAAAAAATGAAACCAAAGTTCGTAGTGCAGTTTAAGTGACATCTGAGATATATCACAGAAAAATGTTGAGGGCTCCTCACAGAGAGACAGAGGACGACGAGCCAGCAGCAGGAACCAGCAGCAGGAGCCTGCAAACCGCGGGTGGGGAGAGCAGCAGTCTTCAGGCTTTGGGATCAATGCATGCATTGGGATTTTTTTGCATAAGTCCTATGGCATGCCCACAAGTGGACAAGGAGAGCGTTCTCCATCAGGGAGCACCTCCAGCTCCAAGATGTTGCAGAGAAGCATTGCCCTGACTGAGCCCATGGCATGGGGAGGTGGGCACGATTGCTCCCCCTTTGCAATAATGGCCTTCTGGTGCTGGGCCATGCGAAGAGTTAAAGACTCACCACGTTGCATCATTCTGGGGGTTTTGTTGTATTTTTTTTTTAATGAAAATTTTTTAATGAAAATTTACGCTGCGTTGGACCAGTGGCCAGGATATGCCTTCTGGAAAGTACCACCTTGGAGCAGCTTGCTGGCATGCCCCTGCCATGTGTTGGACACTGTGGTTAGCATTTGCTTAGACTCAGAATTTTCCTTTATATTCATCTGGAAAAAAAAGGGTAATTCTTTCTGACTAAAAAAATGTACCTTTCTAGATGAGCCCAGGGTTAAGGGCTGCTGTTCAGAGGGGCTGTGAAGGGCAGCACTGCAGCACTGGAGCTACATACTGGTTTAGACCCTGTGGGACATTTCCTCAGAACTACGTGAGGCCTTCAGGCCAGGTGTTGAGCACTAAAAATGCATGATACACTTCTTAAACATGGCTGGGTCAGAGCAGAGTTCTACATTCTACAGCTGTCCCCAAAACGGGACTGTAAAGGAACATCTAGAATTCTCATTTTTCACCTCTCCTATTCATCTTTTTGCCCCCCCAAGGTTCAAAGGTGCCTTTCCACGGGACCTTCTGGGTCTCTAAAACATGTTCATTCTGCACCAGTGCCAAACTCTTAACAGTCTCTCATTCTTTTAATAGCACCTTTTTCTCTGTAATGAGAGCAGGAATTTTTTTTTATTTGAGTGGGGAATATTTCTGGGCTTACCCCAATTCTCAGTCCCCAGGTGCATGTCTGTCACTGGCCAGTGACAAAGATAACAATCTACTATAACAGGGGCATTCAAAGCAGGGGCAGCAAACACCACGTGAGGTCTGCTTGGGACCAGCAGCTCGGTGAGGAGTGCTGCTGAGGCAGCGGAGCGTGACCCTGATGCATGTGTGAGGGAAGCACTCGCTGTTTCAGGATGCTCAGGGCTGCTGTGCTCGCTCTGGCTGAATGTTTGCAGCAGGGAATGGGCACCCAGCAGCAACAGGTGCTTCTGGCTCTGCACTTCCTTCACCCTCAGCAGGACAGGGCCTTGCTCTCTCCAGCTGACCCGGGTAGGGTGACCCTCACTTCTTGCCTGACATCCCGTGGGAATGGCATCCCTCCATGCTGACCAGAGCAGCACAGCTGGTGAGAGCTTCAGCTGCAAGTACAGCCTGAGCCTGAGCAAAGCCAGTTGCAGAGGCTTTTGCCTAGACAGGGGATCCTGCATGGAATAGTGGGAGAGGAATTGAAGGGCTTGGCTGAAGCAAGTTCTGGACATGGGAGCAAAAGAGGCGCCTCTGGGCAAGCAACTTGGTTTCAGGAAGCACTGGACTTTGGTCTCTTATTGGAGAAAGAAGACTTCATTACAGAAATAGCCACCTCTTTCTTTCCAGGCTTGCCTTCTTCCACAAACTGTCCAAGAGCAGGCCTGACTCACTGCCCAGGGCAAAAGGGAAATGGTGGAAAATCAGTGTGATCTGTTCATTGTGGCGCCTACCATTCTCCTCAGAACGCTTCCAAAAACCATCTTTAACACAGATTTAAAAAAAAAATTAAAAAAATACAACGTAGTCTAGCTTTTTCAAATAACCATAATTCTGCAGGGCAGAAGATAAGCAGGATAATTGCTTTACCACAGATAGAGGCACTGCAATGCCAACTTGGGACAACCAGAAAGGTCAGGGACACAGGGAACACCTGTGGCAAGCTGGGGGCTGTGATCACCTCTCCCTTGTCCACATCTAACAAACTGAACTGCAAACTCATCTTTACTGCCCCTCTGTTAGGTTTATAACTGACACGTTGGCAAATGAGAGTGTGTGGATCCAGAGGCCTCCCTAGTAGTCTCCAAGTCCTGCTTCTGAGCCTGGGGCCATCAGCGAAGCAACCCTGGATGGTTCCTGTGGACCTGGGGTTTGGCTCAAGCGGTGGATCTGAGGCTCCAGGGCTGACAGGCCGGTTGCTCCTTGATGTAAATCCAGTGATATTTTCATTTTGGCTTGCATGCCAGTGCTGGCACTGTGCTCCCCACCTGCATGGTAACAAAGTCTGAGGGTCTGTGTTGTTGTCCCTTCTGCTGCTTTCTCTCCATGTGCTGCTGGCAGTTGTGTCCATATCCCTTCTGAGAGTACTGGGACTGGGGGAGCCCATCAGAGGGGTGTTGTGCCTGCAAGCAGAGGGGCCCATCAAGCCTGCCTTACACTCAGTCTCAACTCACCATATAGCACCAGCAGGCTAAACTTGGATGTTCTCAGCAATGAAAGTAAGTCCTAGCGGGATGTGCTGGGTTACATGTGGCCATCTGCTTGACGATGGGAGGGAAGAAGGTTGCATCATGATATAGGTTTTAAAACAGTGATGCTCTTCCTGCATTGTGCAAGCAGTGATGTTTGATGTGTTGAACGTGCTTTCTGCTTTCAGAGTAGGTTTCTCCTTTCTGTGGGAAAAGACAGTCTGAGGAACACAGTTGCGGTCCTCAGCGTAGAAAAGATGTGTCAGGTGCAAGGAATATGAACAGAGCCACAGGAGAGGGAGTTCAGCCTTCTGGGACAGAAAGCACAGCAATCCCAGCCGTAGCTCTGCTGAGGCTCTGGTCTTACAATAGCAGCAGATGTGGCCAAGCATGTGTGGTTCACACAGGCAGAGTGCGCTTCCACATAACAGCCAAGGAAAATCAACCACTGAACTCCTCCAAAATCTACTGCTCCTCCTCTTTCCCTCCAGCTTTCCCCCCTCCCAGCTTCATGCATCCACCTCCTGCTACGAGGGTCTGCAGTGTAAAGCTCATTTGACCCTCAATCCTGCCAAACTAGAGTTAGGTGAAGAGCTAAGCTTGAGGAGGGAGGAGTTGG